GAATATTTGAATACATTTTTTCTTCAATTAATTACTAATAATAAGACTAGTGATAATGGCAAGTAAGTTGATTTATTTGTCAGTATATTTGTGGTATCGTAATGGTATAACCCATAATCAGTGATAGAATAATGTACAGAATGTATTATTCCATTTGAAAATCCAAAATTGGTAGATGGTCAGAATGACGTGGTCATCCTAGATATGAATATTTTGATTTACTATCTACTGACAACAAATTGGAACAATACAGGGTGGTTCAAGATTCAGAATTCTGATCACCCTGTATTTGTTCCAATTATTAAATGTCAGTAGATAGTAAATCATAAGTTAACATAGGAACATGGCAGTCGTTTTGACCGATAAGTAATAGTTTCGACAGAAAAACATCCTACTTAAATTTGAAAAATCTCGATTTTTGAACACCCTATATCTCTGTTATCATTCCCGCTAGACCCCAAGTGTGATACATTGATGAAATCAGCTATTCAGAGATAATCTAAAAATGCAATGAAATACAGGGTGTTCCTTTTAAAAGAATCAACTTGTACCCTGTCTTTCGTTTGTTCCGAGCACCCTGTATTTTCTGATATAGCGGAAAAAACTTAATCAAATGATTCTTCAAATTTTGCGATCGGTTCAAAAATAACCGAGCTAGAGGGGGAGACATTCATGGTGAATCACCCTGTACATGGAAAATAATGTTAATTCATTTGATTTTGATACCTACCTACCTATCTATAGAGATAGTCTGCTAGATCTTGTAAAAACTATCCGAACATACCTACCTAACGAATGAACATGTTACAATAAGCACCCGATTCACCCTGTATTCATATTTCTACATATACGTATTAATAATCAATACGGATAATCTCTATCTGTTTCCATAGCGAAACATGAAGCCGATTTTTGAAGACAAATGACTATCCATAAGGAAAAGTGAGATACGATCAGACACATACTGCTTTGATTGAAACGTCATTGTCCACCGAAACGCATGTCTTTGATGACTACTATGATAGCGCATGGCGCATGCGTATCATGCCACCAAATCCTTATGGATATTCATTTGTTTCATATTTTTAGCTTCATCCTGGCACCCGTTATGATCCGTATTGTTTATTAATACGTATATGTATTTCTAATATTATTTCGTGTCCATTTACCTCATCCAAGATGTCACTAAAGGAAATTTTCTGGGCAATTTTAGCAGCTAAAGCTTGACGTTGCTTCTCGTTTATGGTTAAGTGGCATAGTTCATTCTTATGTCCAACATGCGTTTTCACGTAAACAATGTTGCATGTACCAGTAATGATATCCATAGCCACTTTAATGGAAGCAGGACAATTTGAATTTATTTTGTTGCTGCCCTGTATTTTAACTTGCCTCTTTCCAGTGCTCTTTGAGTGAAAATATCCAGAGCGATGACAATAAAGATATTGAATCCCCAATTTTGACGATCTTTTCGTTTTATCATTCTCACTTTTCCATTCGATGAATTGTTCATAAGATGGAATTTCAAGATTTTCCTTAACCAACGTTAAGTCATGCGAATTCTTCAAATGATTTTCGAATTGATCATTCATAATTTTTCCATTGCATAATGGGCAATCAGATGATTTCACCGCACTATTTGAAGGTAAATTGCAACATTTTTTTTATGGGCCGTAAAATTCTTCTCAACATTGAACTTCGAACTGCATCTATCACAAATAAACTTGTACACTTTCCCACTTGTTTTTGATGGGGCTATCTTAGTTGGATGAGACTTCAAACAATGCCTTCTGAGAACGGATTGACAATTCCTTTATAATCTTTGCAATGAGTTCATATTTTTTTCCCAAACAAAACATCGCAAATTGTCGCCAAACTGACGTAGTTGAATTCACAGTTTTGCGAGGCTTCCACTTGAAGACTCTCCAAATCGCGACATTTCCACAAATGAAAACTTTCCTGACAACGCAAGGTTGCCAAAAAATGACATACCTAACGTCATCAAACACTTGTTGATGGCTGGTTGTCTTGCTTTTAAAAATGCCGCTGGAAAAGTTGGGGTAAACTTTTTTCGCTGGCATAATGACAAAATCGCGCGGCTTGTGGGATTTTTCATACATGAATTAATAAATTGTCATATATAATACCACAAGTGATAATATTTTGCCGGAAATATTCGGTGATTGTTACGACAGCTTGTCGCTTAGTAATTTCGTGAAAGACATTGTATCAAAACTACGAGCCGTCGGCGAGTAGTTTTGGATCAATGTCATGAGCGAAATTAGAGCAGCAAGCTGGAGTAAGTCAATCGACGAATATTTCCAGGAAAAATAGTATCACGAATTGTATTCGTATGACTATTTCATGATTGAATGAGACAATATATATAAGAAATAGGAAACATAATTTAAGTATATTTCAACTCGAACTGCGAAGAAGAAAATCATGATAGTGATGAAATACAGAATTTACCGTTTTAGAAATTAACTACCTACTTATAGTTATTCACAAAGTGGAATGTACAATTTTGATAAACAGTATTTTTTTCATTATCTTGGAGATGGTTGCTCTCAAAAGAGTGTATACAATTACTATCCAATTCAAACAGAATAAATTGAATTTATGTAACATGGAATAATTAAAAAAAAGGATATCGTCGCCGAGGGCTCGAACCATCGACCTTCGTATACCTACTCGCGCAACAACCCTAACAGTTGCGCTACATCAGCTATTAATTATGTTAGTCGGTCAAAATAACTTGAGTAATTGAAGAAGATTACTTCAAAAAGGAATTTGAATTATATTATTGTTGTGTAAGACCGTTAACAAATATGCAAACTTTTTAATCTAGCCAGAATAAAATTGTCTCGCCTTTCGTACAAAATATCTCACTAACGCGAAATATAGGTAAATGAAATAAAGTAGGAACTTAGGTTATTGTCTCATATTTGAATCCAAAGCAATCTTGACGAGACACGATGTCAACATTTTAACGATGATAAACGAGGTAAGTTGGTCACGTGTGGGTCAATTCGGCTTCTGTATTGGTAGAGCAAGTCCGATAAGATTTGATAAACGAAAAATATCGCTAGAATATGTAGAATACAGAAGAAACCATGAAAATGGTCGATTCTGATTGGTTTTCGAGATCAAGAGTGGAATAGTCGAACTAATATAGGGTCCCTTGATGGAAATTGACGTTAAAGTCATCCTAACAGGCTTACTAACAGGGTACGGACAGATCCTCGTCTCCTCTCACTCCAAAGTGTTTGTGAAACAGTTATATGTATAGTTCCATGCTTATTCAATTCTGGGGATAAACACTAGATTTTTGACATTCGTTGTTTTTTAGGTTATATTGAGGTCACTGGCGTATTATACGTAATTTCCATATGGAATTCCTGATTCAACTATACCAAGATATAGATGAACAGTCCTCTAGATTTAGAGTTTACTACTCCAGCATAATCTTTGCAAGGTAGGGAACATATAAATTGTACTGAAAGCTTAATATATTTCACCAAAAGAGACTGTTCTTAGACTGTATACCAGGGTTGACTGAATAATTGACCAAATGAATTCTGATTTCATGCTGAGCAGTAGTTTATCTATGAGCTGAATGAGCTGAGCCTTGTGATTGAGAAATGGTGGAAATCTTACCTGGCTGTACTTATGTCATGTGTGCTAAATATGTTTTCGGAAATCCAGCTCGGTGAAGAATTTATGGAGTGACTAATATCATGTATAAAATAACTTCGTCTAGGACGAAAAGTAGGCTGATAAAAAGTAATACGTGAAATATGCAGGAAAATAAAGTATAGAATATACCATACTTTACCCCCATGTTATACATATGATTTCTCCGTCTCCTATGAATAAAAAGTCATTTTCGAACAATTGTTTGATAAAAGTATCAAAGAAAGGTATATGCAGTATAACTTATAGTCACGTCATTTTCACTCTGGCATCCTACATATTTTCTATTCGTGGTAGAGTAATAATCATATAAACTAATGTCTTTCGCCATATTGGATCCGCCATCTTGAATTTTCCAATTTTGACGAAACGATCATCATCTCCTACCCCGAAAACCCCCAGATACCAACTTTGAATCGAATCGCTTCTCCATTACAAAACTCGTCCATCATAATGGATCCGCCATCTTAAATATCCCAATTGACGAATTAATTATAATCTCCGACCCCGGAAATTCACAGATACCAATTTTGATTTTTGAATAGAATCGTATCATAATTACAAAATTCTTTCGCCATATTGGACCCGCTATCATGAATTTCTCAATTTTGACAAAAAATCATGAAGTTTGACCCCGAAAACCCTCAGATGCCAATCTCAAATAGAGTCAGATCATAATTCGAAATTTCTTTTGCTATACGGGCTGATTCACGGTGGCAGCGCTGAGAATATTTCAGGTCGATACAACACAACTAATTATTCAAGGCACCAACTTTTCAGAATAATCCTGAGTTGCGTATTCCAGAAACGTCTAATGTGCCATCCACCGTGAATCAGCCTGTATATTGGATTCGTCATCTTGAATTTTCCAAGTTTGACGAAACAATCATTATCTCCAACCCCAGATACCTATTATTGAAATTTTGAATGATTTTCTGTAGCGCCCATGGATGTGACGTGACAGCAATGTCAGGGATGCCAGTAGACAAAACTAAAATCTCTAGATCATTAGAAAAGAATGCAGCCATGATCTGTCCGTACCCTGTTAAGATGACTTTAACGTCAATTTCCATTATATCAACATCGCCGTTGGGAAACGCATGCCACTGGTCAATCGGGAAAGTTCGGAAATTCTGGCAGCCAGCTTTGGCTGAGTTTGGCAGCCCACTTCACGTTGATAAATTTAGGTTAGTTGTTTTTCAGTTTGATGTTTTGATGGTTTGTTATTATTAGTTTTAACTTTTATTTTACTTGTTCATTCATCAGAAATTACTTTTTGAAAATCAAGATATAGATAGAATTTTGGAATGGTATTTCTCCAGTATGTCTTGAATAATAAGTCAAAAAAAAGCCATCACAAAGAATTCCAGAAATTGAAAGACACTTTAGTTGAAGTGAACAAAGTCTATATGAACTTAGGATGTCTTCTTGTAGAGTTGGAAGGAGAATGCTCATTCAATTCAGCCAATAATGAAATATCCTATGGTAGTTCCATATGCTTAGTTATTTTGTTAATTATTGGTATAGTCAAGTTCAATTTGATTCTGTTTTGTTTCTACTACTTTTTGGGTGTTAGATGTATTATCCCCAATAATTACTTCATATGGGAAGCCACACGTCCAATATCAAATTGCGATTTTTGCTCAAATGTATCTCATCCTACAGTATTATCAAATATTTCTCAAGATTCATTTTTGCCATATGCATATAGCTCCAAACCTATTGTGATAAAACAAGCATTCTCTCATTGGCCTGCAAAACAATTATTTTCTCTCCAATATTTTCAAAATCTTTACAATGTCACGGAAGGATCATTCAAGAGTGTAGATGAAGAATGCCAGTTTTTGCATTTTAAATCTGATTTCATATCAGTAAAAGATGTTCTATTTATGAATAATAGAAGGGCAGCAAATGATCCAACAGAAAAGTCATGGTATGTGGGTTGGTAAGTAGAGTAGATTGAATATATACTATATAAGTTATCCACTTTACAATCATGATCTGTTCCCAGGGGTGGCTCACTATGGTAATATGGTGTACATTGTGCCAGTAATACATTACCAGTAAAGTAGGTATACCTCCAGTACGCTCCAGTATAATCTGTATTATTGGTGTTATCTAGTGATATTTGGTAATATTTGATATCACATGTATCATTGGTAATATCTGCCAGTAATATAGCAATATCTTCCAATAATATGGAATATAGTAATTTAATATTATTCCTGATATTCCAAGTGATATTAGCATGACCAAGGAAATTTAGTGGTAGTTTTTCTAGTAATATATATGATAATATATGAGTATTGCACATTTTATGAGTCAATGATACCAGATGTCACTATAGGAAATAAGCATACCCCACCTAGCAGGATTTTTGAAAGCTGTCTGTCAGGTCCAGGGACATGATATTTTCTATCACTAAATTGTTATACCTACCTATCCATTATCAATAGAATGAATATCTAAATACCATTCTTCTATTTTAATTTATTGTTGATTCAGTGTGTAGTTGTATCATAAACTCAGTGTTTGAAAACTGGTTGACTAATTGGCTACTAGGAACACCCAAACAACCCCAAAAATATTTAGGAATGTGTAATTATATTTCAGCTACAATTTGCCAAATTGAGTAGACCTGAATAATTATTTGTTTAATTTGGCAGAAAAGCACAAGATTTAATGCTTTGTGGACGTTTCATAGCCAAGGCTAGGAAACTAGCCAAGGCTCTGCATCTTTTTTACTGCCATCTGAAACTTTTTTTTCCAAATTGGTTCCAATTTAATGTGAATCCGAATAATCCATCTTTGTGTGTTCACCCAATATCTTTGTCAATTTTTATTACCAATTTAATTTATATGGATACTTGCAATGTTCCATAGGAACAAACTTTTTTGCTCAGCCAGTGTATGCCTGTTGTGAGTCATTAAAAAGGTATGGAGAAATTATTAGAAATGGCTGTGTATAATCAACTTTTGAACTATGTTGAAACTAATAAGCTGATAATAGATAATCAATCTGGATTTCCATAAAATCAGTCCTGTGAAACGGCTATACAATTAACTGTCACTAAATGGATACAATCTATTGACAAGGGAGAATATGTTGTGACAGTATTCCTAGATATAAGGAGAGCGTTTTAAACTATTGATCCTGAGATTTCAATTAGAAAGTTAGAAGCCATTGGTATTGAAGGAACAGTATTGCATTGGTTGAGAGATTATTCAATTGGAAGGCAACAAATAACAAAAATCGAGAATGCCTTATTCAATTCCATAGACCCATGGACACCAAATTTGGGGTACCACAGGGTAGTGTATTGGGGCCCTTACTTTTTTGATTATATGTATATTAACAACGTTGGCTTAGCGCTTGATTGTGATCTGATCAACTTATTTGCTGATTATACCTTGTTATCAATAGCACATAAGGATTTGAATGTTGCTATAACTAAAATGAACTCATGCTTGGAACATTTACATGAGTACTTCAATATGAATAAATTGAAATGAAATATTTCAAAGACTAAAGCTATGGTTCTGACAACAGGCTATAGATATAGGCGATTAAATCTCAATTCTTCTTCACTGACCATTAACAACAAGCAATTAGATTTCATAACAGAGTTTGAATACCTTGGTTATATGTCAGATGACAATCTAACTTTTGGTGCACATTTCAATTATATGTCGAAAAAACAGCAAAAAAACTTAACTTTTTCATTCGAATATCTGTCAACCGCTGCCAAGATCGCCATTTATAATACCATAATACAACCACATTTTGATTATTGTAGCACTCTGCTTTATAGTTGTGACCAGAATAAAATTATGGCATTACAAAAACTGCAGAACCGAGGCATGAGGGTGATTCTTAGATGTAACCGTTCTAGTAGTACCTCTTTCATGCTTGATACTCTGAGTTGGTTATCGATAGAAGATGGACTTTTCCGAACATCAATGATATTCATTTTTTAGATTATCAATAATATGCTACCAACTTACTACAAGGAATTTATAATTTATCAAAATATCAAAATGATGACTTCCACTTGTCAAGATGTAACTCATCAAACTCAATGAAAATATTATTGTACAAAAGTTCAAATCAATGTAATGAGTCACCACAAAAAAAAAGAAAAATGTCACAAATCTTCGTCAGTTCAAATCAAAACTAACTGTCTTTATGAAATCAAATGTCAAGATAGAATAGATATGTAGATAGATATTACTGTATAAATACATGATCAGTGTGAAACCAGCCACGACTTCGCCTAATATTCCAGGCGCGCGCGATACCACCAAAGGTCGTCCATTATTCATTTATATTCATGGCTGGTCATGAAATTACTAAAACCTTCAAAATATGTCCGTGGATGAAACTATTTTTCATCAATGTATTCCTCTGAGGGTCCTTAATAATCTGTATATCCCACAATAATTTGTCGGGCAAGAATTAATCCCACAGGCCCCCTTTTTCGGAATTTCGAAAAAAAAATTCTAATTTTTTCAAAATACGTGGATGGGAGTTTCATTCTATGAATGTATTTCTCTAATGGTACTTGATAATGTGTATATCTCACAATATTTTGTCGGGCAAAAAGTATCCCCACAGGCCCCCTTTTTTTGGAATTTCAAAAAAAAACAATCATAACTTTTTCAAAATACACGTGAATGGGAGTTTTGTTTTCTACGAATGTGTTCCTCTAATGGTACTTGATAATGTGTATATCTCACAATATTTTGTCGAACAAGAATTAACCCCACAGGCCCTCCTTTTCCGAATTTTGAAAAAAAAAAATCATAACTTTCTCAAAATACACGTGGATGGGTGTTTTATTCTATGAATGTGTTCCTGTAATGATACTCGATAATGTGTATATCGATGTGAGCAGCGGTGTCGTTATGATCCCGTTTGAGCAAATAATTCTTTATAATTCTTTTTTCAAATCATAATCAATCATGGTAATTTTTCACAATTCTTTCTTCGACCATGATCAATCATGATCGAAAGAAAAGTTATGAAAATATTTGCTCAAAGGGCATCATAACGAAAGTGTTGTGATTTTACAGAACTTCAAATATCATAATGTTCACCTGGAATTTTTGTAGTCTCATATTGCACCGTGGATTTATGAGTAGGTAAATTGATTCAGAATTTGGCCTACAGTTGTTTTTACCACGAAGTTCATTTTATTGATCAGTTCAGTTCTCGAAATATCCAAATATAGACATTTCTGCTGTTGATAGTTGAATTGGTGATAGTGATAATCGAGGTAAACTGTACAGGGCTAGTTTTATTAATGTGAACCCCCCTTTATCTTTTTTGTTTCACACTCATTAAAAAAAATTGAAGTTGATCTCATACAATTTTTCCGAATTTTTCATACAGATTTCACTCATATTGACGATAATGCAATATCTCTTCAAATATACAGGGTATACAGAAAAATATATTTTTTTCAAATGGAATGCGCCTTATATTTTAATAGATTTGGATTCTGCAATTCATCCTGATTTCAAATATATGATATAAGGGATTCATATCTATCAAAATATACAGCGCATTCCATTCAAAAAGTATATTTGAAGAGATATTGCAACACTGTCACTATGATTGGAACTTATATGAAAAATAATTGTAAAAAATCTGTATCACATTTTCTTGATGGGTGGAAAACAAAAAAAAGGTTGAGAGGGGTTCACATTTATAAAACTAGCCCTGTACAAATTAGTAATTAATGTGGTTTATCAGGTGCCCATTATTTTGAAGGTAAAATTGGTAATATTATATCTCGTGTTATATAGTACCTAATTCGGTGATATTTTGTAATATTTGGTAATATTTGTTAATATTTGGTGATATTTGGTAATATTTGGTGATATCTGGTGATATTTGGTAATATATGGTAATATATTGTTATATTTAGTAATATTTAGTGGTATTTGGTAATATTCAATACTTTTCGGTATTATTTGGTGATATTTGGTACTACTCGATGATATTTTACAAAATCAGTAAGATTTAGTGATATCTTGAGTATTTTTGGTGTTATGGTTATATCCCCTGAATATGACTGATATTACACCTGATTTGGTAATCTGGTGTCCAAATTTGGGTGAGTGAGCCACCCCTCAATTTGTTCGAAGGATTTATTCATACTCACCACATTTTGTTTTATACTATTATAAGAGGAAAATGCTGACTGATTATTCAAGGTGCCCTGAAGCTTTATACAAAGTCTTAACGGTGGTGAGCAGGGCCCTCATTTGGATTGCTTTGAGCCAAACATACCTGATGACATGTTATGAACCACCCCTTATAAATTTATAACTTTTATTTTTGACAGTAGGAAAGAACAGCCTCTCTGGAGATTTTTTTTACATCTTGATATTCAAGAGGAGTCAAAAGATATGATCTCACTATCTAAGAAAATATACAGAAAGCAGCAAAAAGTGTATACATTTCCAATAGAACACCCTATAAGTATATCTTATCACCGTAGGAATGCCCCAGGGAAATATTTTTCAAAGAGCTTGAATTGATTACTTCTTCTGTATCAAAGTGCAATAATGAATATATTTCAGTTCATGCATTTGTTCACTTTTAAAGTAGACTTCTACATAATTTCCAAATCAGGGAAATCAGCCGATTAGGTTCGGTTGTTGTATATATTATATTCCAGAGAATCACCTACCTGTAGGTGGCGCTATAAAATCAATGGACTACGTGAGGGTGTTTAGCCGCCATTTCTTATAGGTTATCATGTGAATTGTGGGTATATTACCAATTCTACTGGTCAGTACTGTCAGTAAATCCACTGCCGCTGCTGAAAATCTGTGGTCCGAAATGAAAAATCAAAGAATACAGTGCAATTTGTGAGAATTCTCTTCATCTTATACGTCCTTCATCAGGACAGAACAAATAGATCTGTTTTTGGAACA